CTCTCAGTAAACACTGCTTGGCCTGACTCATACAAACCCCAGAGAGCTGTGTCAGACTAGCCCCGAGCTCTGAGAGGGCCGAATAACGTTTGGGAAACTCTTTTGCAGCACACACAGGCCCTACGTAATTACTACTATATAGCATTTTTCTTTACAAACCTGAAAAGACTAAATATTTCTTCCAACACTAAAAGCAGTTCAAAGGCTTAAATTTACCTAGCATGTAATTGTTAGTGGTGGGTAATGTGACCAAAAGGGCTTTACTAGTCTCCCAACACAGAAAATACTACGTAGCAAACCTTTTTAAAGGATTCTCCTCTGTGCCAGCCCTTACCATTATTTTTAACACCTGTTTTCCCAGTGTACAAAAGTTTGTCACTCCTTATCACTAATGTGATGAGATTGCCAGAGGAGGTAAATGTCTTTTCCGTGGACAGGAAGAGCAGCAATGAATTTACAGGTATTAGGGAAACACTTCAAACATTAAGTTCAGGTAAGGCACTGCAGAGAACCTGTTGATTCTCACTTCCTGCAATCCGATTAAGCAGCAGCTGTTAGGAACGACACAGGTCTACAGAAGGTGTCAGATGGACCAGGGGGCCTGTAAAGGCCCCCTCCAGACCTGATTTCCTATGATCTTCCATTGGCAATGTGCAAATTTGTGCAATTGCAAATTAAGCAATCTCTAGGAGAGACGCTGCAACAACACCTGGGAAGCCTCTAATCTATCTTGCAGTTTATCTTGTTCTTCTCTTTGAGTAAGGAATGTTAATTAAAGTGTCTTAAGGAATTTCAACAGCAATTATAAACCTTCACAACAAGCAGCCTCAGGCATTGCACCCAACAAGAACATTTCCCATTTTATGTTGTGCTTTGCATTCTTCACGGATTAAAGTACTTCTTAGACTATGTTTCCATTTCAACATGTACAATACTTACTCTTACAACCACCAGCTGAAAACACCTGATTACCAGTCATCTGCCTAGCAGTTTTACATTAGGCAAGTAGGGCGGCCTCTTTATCCACCCCAGAGCAAATACCAGACATCAAGAACTCAAAAAGCTCATGGAAGCTGCCTGGGCCACGAAACGTGCACTGAAGGGCCCCTCCATCCCCTGCAGTCCCCATCAGCGGGGGCCCACCATATAAATCACTGCAGGATCATTTACAGGCACCTGGCTGCTTACAGGAACAATATCCAAGAGCTTTTCCCCAGGACACTGAACAACCTTTAGACCTTGGGTCTAAACACAGAGCACAAGTTATCTGCCTAGAATGATGAAGATGCTACTAAGTCTGATGGAGTTTAAAGTACCATTCCTGGGAATCTACATCGTGGAAGCGACTTCCAGACCCCTAAGCAAGATGCTGCTGAAAGGCAGCTGCTGCTCCAAGGCCCAAATCGATTTAAACTTGCTGAAGGGAAACACTACACCCCTCTCCACAGCATTTATCTTCTTTTAGAAACACTGCTGCATTGGATACTACTGTTCCTAGACAAAATACCTAGTAAATATTGATAGAGAAGCAACTCCCCTGCACTTCTTCTTCCCCCTCCAAAAAAATAAACAATTTTTTTAACAAATCACCTGCTCCAGCAAACTAGCTACTGCACCCAGTAAGAGGAACTCCCCTCTCCCTCCAGCCACCCCTGCAAACCGGGGGCGCAGAGCGGGTCCCCCTGCCCCCCTCGCGCAGGCAGCCGCTGGAGCAGCCGCTCCTCGCTGAGGAGGAGGCGCCGCTATCGCGCCCCGTCTCCATCCCCCGGCAGCCCGGCCGAGCGGGTTAAAGCAGAGAAAAGCGCACGCTTCAAGGCGGAACAGCAGAACAGCCGCCAGCTCCACAGGGAAGGAGCAGGTGCGCAGAAGGTGGAATGGGCTGGAAGGGGCAGGAGCTGCGAGCAGCGCCTGGCTCGGAGCCTCCCTCCCTCGCACAGCCACTTGCTTCCAGCCCGGCATCCTCGTGGGAACATGGTCACGTCCCCACTCCGAAACCTTCCCCCTTTCCTTTCCCACACAAACCAAGGGCAGCGGTGGAATTCCTCCACCTCCCCCACGGACTAGGTAAGGCTAAAAGTCTTCACGTGGCAGCTTTAGAAACACGTAATAAATCAAAGCAAGAACCTGCAGCTTGTTCTAAGGGATGAAAGAAAGTGACTTATCTGGTGAAAATATTCTACAAACAAGAGCAAGCTCAAAAGGAAAAGGATGATGACTCAGTGATAGCGAGAAAGTGCACTTTTAAATGAGAAATGAATTGGGAAACACAAGCAAAATTAACTATTTGATATAAATTTATTTAAGCTTCCAGGAAATTGTTCCAGAAACTGTCACACCTATGATCAAAAAAGAGCTGGTTTTAATTCATTAGTTAAATTACACTATTTCACAGGCAATATTTTGAAGCTGTGGAGACTGCACTGTGTAAAATACTGTCTATTTTTACACAGAACCAAACAGGCTGTTCAAAAAGGGAAAACCCATTTCTTGCTACTTCTCTTGCTAGCCTGACTGCTTGAGAGACGTTCTGCTGTTCACCTCTGCCTGCAAAATAAGCAATAAGACACAGCCCAGAGGATAAAAATATTTTACTGTGAATATTCTGGTTATTTGTCACAAAAGGAGAATAAGTAGATACAGACTATAAAAGAAAGGAAAGGGCTTACAGAAAAAAAAAAACACAAAAGAGAAGTGGGTTGCATTACAGTAAGTTCTTGTTAAAGGAAGACAAAATAACGTTCCAAAATTCACATCCTTTGGCTTGTTTCCTCTGGAGCAGATGTGGGAACGCAGCACTTGAATCAGTAAGGAAGCAAATGCAACACCATAGGTCTGGTGAGAAATGCACTTAACACACATCAAAAAAAGGTGGAAAAGAAACACTCAACCAGTAGAGCATACTGTACATTTCCCTAGTGCCTAAATGCTGTGACCTACTAGACAGGCCATTTGTCACATAACATTTAACTGTTTCCCCATTTTTTTCAAGGTCTAGGAAGTTACTGTAATGGTTCCCTGCAGTCTAAAAATCTCAGCTCAGCTCCCAGTTAGGTACAAGGCCACAGCAACCACTTCAAAAATGATCACCCGTTTGTATGTCAACTTTGGCAGCCTACGTATTTAGGAAGTGCTGAACAAAGGCTCCCAGGTGGGCTGAAGTCAAGCATGTCTCAAAATACCTCACCAAGAACTTAGTATCACAGGCCACATTTGAAAATACGGGTTGTCAATGAGTATTGATTAAAAAACTTGAATAACAAGAAAGGTCATCCATAGATAAAGCCATGGAAGCCTTCAGCTTCACAGGCTTTTTATTTTTTTGAATTTAGAAGAGGTATTTTAGTACAAGCAAGTTGAATTTAAGGTAAGAGTTACCTAAAGCAAGGAAAGATAACACTGCTGCAACTTTAGCCAGTGCTCTAAATGACACGAAAAAAAGAAAATAAAGAAAATAGGAAAGGGCCAATTGTTTGGGGTATAACAAGGATAAATAGCCAGCTCCCCACGGAAAAGATCCCCCTCCCCGTTCCTGTAGCAGGTCGGAAGGGCGAGAGCTCAGCGCACGTTTCTGGGGGGAGCCTGTGGCCACATCCTGCCCCGCAGCACTCCCTGCCCGCACGCTGCCAGGGCACCTACCCAGGGCCTGCTGGCAAGTTACGGCGTGATTTGAGGTAGTCATGTTTGTGCCACTTGCCTGAGGAACCCATTTTCAGCCTGTTTAATGCAGAATACATCTTTTATACAACCTGAAAAGACTGGGGCCACGTGAGAATTTCATCTGTGATAGCTGCACTGTCACAGAAATGCATTTAATGCTTTGCTTCTCAGTGCCTGAATATGTTTCTTGGCTTTGAACCTTACCAGCAGGAGGCTGGGAGCCTGCTGGGTGTTGCAGAGGCGACAGGAACACAGCACAGGGGCTCTGCGAAGAGGGCTCCAACATCACAGCGCCAACGCAGGCTGCTCGCGCGGGCGCTCTCACCAGGGCAGCGTTTTACAGGGGAGGAGGAGGTGGAAGCACAGGGAGTATCTGCTGGCCTAGCCGAGCTAGTTCCTGCTCCTGCTGCCCTCGGTGCGGGTGCGAGCGCTGCTGGGAGCCCCGTTTGGAGCTGCTGGCTGTGGCGCCCAGCCCAGCGTGCCCAGAGCTGCACAAACGCACCCAGCCAGCAAGGGGAGGGCAAAGGAGAGGCTCGAAGCCACGGCCGCCGCTTTCAGCACCGCTACCAGATTTAAAACGATTCAAGAAATGATGGCAAGTCACTCCGGAGGGCAGGGAGTTCGGGAACTTCTCCTCAGTTCACCCTAAAGACAAACACCCTTGGGAGACAATTAATTCTTTCCCAATTTTATTGGGGCCCGACTCCAGATTTTTTAGCACAGGGCTTAAAATACTGGGAATTGCGCTGGTTCCACGTGCTTCAGTAACACAGACAGTACTAGCAGTGGCAAAGAGCCTGATCCTATCCAAGGCAGAGTACAGGGCATTTGCCCTGAGCTCCACCGGCAATTCTATGCAAATGGAAAAGAACTGAACAGATAAACAGCCAGAGTGCATCAACAAACCAAAAATCTGACTCCATACTCAGCACGCACCACACTTCAGATACACATTTACATCCTCACTGGTCAGGTTCTTCAGAACCTCTTGGGTAAATATGAAATGCTATAGACACTCCACCAAAACCAAACTTACATGCAAAAACAGTTCACACTTTTGAGAATTTCTGTAGTAACTTTGAAAATCCTATTAACGTGCACAGGTCTTTGTCTCAAGGAGCAGTTCCCCACATATGGTGGTTGTAAGCATGACACTATCACCAAGCCAACAGACCCAGTCCACTCATGCACACAGCAGAGATCTGTTTTGGATCCTGATGCAGAACAGACATCTGAAGCATCAGCACCCTCTCACCAATATGGAAGTCACGTAGGATAACTCTTACTTAAGGTGTAATATAGACAACAAGGAGAAAGCTGCATAGCGAGGCATTTTCACTTACGTGGTTTATATAGAGACTCTTGCGTTTTTCTCTCACTGCAAAAACACAAAATATGATAGAAATATTACATGACTATTTTTCCCGGTTAAGCTTCTTACATACCATTTATAACAAACACACAGGAGGCTATCTGTGTGTAACATCATCATTGCTTTTGCACTAACCAAGCACATTTCTATATCAAACACAGAAGGAACATGTATCCGTAGGCTTGCGGGCAGTGCAGCATGGTGAGGGATCAGAACACACATCCCCCCGGGTACTTGGCCACAGCTGGGCCGCGTGGGAAGTTAATGGGCAATGAGCTACAGGGTATTTGCACCCTCTGCGGGTCTGTGCGGGGATGTTCCCCACGGACACGGCCGGCGCCGCCCTGCAAGGCGCCTTGCTGCAAACTTGCAGGTGACGAAGCGCCCAGAAGAGCCGCTCCGCGGAGCGCGAAACTTCCCGCAGCTCCGTGCGCACTAACCCCATGAGCAGCCTCAGGGATCAGACTGTGCCCGCTGCACCGACCCGCTGCAACTCTGAAACTGCTCTTCACGCTAGGTATCATAACGAAAATGATGTCACTCTGTTAAGAACTAGTGACCACAGGCAAGGATTGCGTGTCAGATCAACGGTTCTTAGCCATCACGTTCAGAAATTAAACAAGAGGAACAAGGGGGATGTTCAGAGTCTTAATTGTCAGACAAATGCTTATTGTAGCTGATTAAATATACTCTATTTGATTCTTTAAAAACATTTTCCCAATTAACTCACCCTACAGAGAGCCTGTGGAACTCTGTTCCTGAGAAATTACCATACAAGTCTGGAGGCAACTAATACATAAATCGAACTGCGGGATTAAAATAATAATGGTTTCATGCTGTAGGTGATTAAATGCACTTTGGAGTACTATGAAAGCTGTGCAACCCGATGCGCTTCATAAAATAAGAGTGCTTGTAATGGTGGGATAGCCTGTCCATTCCCTGCTGGATGAGAAGCTATTATTTGTGATTTTTATTAGCAAGCAATCTCACATAAACAAGGTTGTATGTGCAAATATTGCAAAATAATTGTGTTTAATGCAGGCATTAAATGAAAATAAGAAAAAAAACTTTTAAAAATCCTTACATAATTTTCCTCCCAGGGAGCAGAAAGGAGAATCACACATGACAAATGTTAGCCATGTCACTTAGTACATGCTCAGATCCACATTTACGGACATTGTATAAGAGACAGAATTAAACAGGAAGAGCAGGAAAATTCTGATCGTCTAGTAAATTTAAACCACTTGAAATCCTCCTGAAACACTGCACCACAGTTCCCCACACTGCATTTTCCATAAGCAAGGCCCATGAGTAATCAGGTGGCTGATGGCAGCTGCCAGTTTTTAAGGAGGCTGCAGAGTTTTTCTAGTACTGCACACTGCCGTGCAGAGGCATGAAGCCATCCTCACAAGCTGCAGGTAAACTTAGTAAAGCACATAAGTGAAAATTTAGAGCAATTAACTGCTAAACTGTGCACATGCTTAAGTATTTAAGTCATAAGCAATCATCCTGCATACAAATTTATTATTGTTAAAGCCCCAGAAACAGCCTTCAAATGCATCCAAATTCTGTTTTTAACCAAGTTGTTTTCCCTCAGTTTTTTTTTTCTTTTCCACATTCTCCTAAATATTACTTTATTCAATTTCCTATGACAGTAAAATTATCTATGAAAGCAAGAATATCACTCACAGCTCATTTCCACTTACTACTTCCTATCCCCAGAAGGATATAAAGGATATATTCATTCGAGCCCCTCGCTGCACTTGTTCAAACACCATTTGTGCTGTGTTCTTCCAAGCACCATGTTAACATGCTTTCCCCTAATTTTCCTATATAATAGCAGTGCAATTAACCTTGATTTTCCAGTGAGGGACTCCAAGAAGGCAGCAGGGCTCTTCTGCTTGTGAACCAAGTCTGCCACAGCACAACACGTTTAGGGCTTTTTCTTTTTTGTTTCTCTTCAAGAAATGTTTGTTGGTGAGGAATGAGGCACAGCAGAAACTCCCTGGGTCACCTTGTGCCAGGAGGGAATTCCCTGCCCCTTCCCTTGGCTTCGGGACGCTTTGTGCTGCTCCCACTACGCTGTGGTCCTCAGCAGACCACCGCACGTCAGCTTGATAACGAGCCATCGCTTCCTAGCACCAACTGCAATTCCAGGCTCTCGGCTTCCAAAGATGGCATATGGATGAAATGAAGCTGAACAGATGTAGTGCCACAGTTTAAGCAATTAAATGAAAAAATATAGATTGTATCTTAAAAATGAAAGTTATAATGGAATCCAAGTGGATACTGCAATGTAAGGTACTGCCAAACTTTCTTCATTTTCCTAATTTTAAGGTCAATGATCTGTTCCATTTTTTGCAGCCATTTTCACTCATTATTGTTGAACTTTTATTATAATAGGAATATACATTATCCTTCCATAAAAGGAAGTGGGGAAATATGTGTATATATGCATATATATATTCATATTTGTATATTTCACTGAGCTGCCACAGAAGTTTCCTTTGTGAGATTTCTATAAACAGTGTTAACCTTATCAGGACAGAAGACAACAATAACAGCGTTGTGGTAATTACTACATATCAAATGTGAGAAACGACTCACAATTTGGGAATTTGTAAATAGTTTCGTTTTGTCTTGCCTGAGAAACAGGAGACTGGCCTTGGCTAACATTAAAACACTTGCTCCACTTCTACCTACTATATATGCAGAGATTGCAAAATGGTTTTTGTCTTAAGCACATCACTGCACTGATATTGCATATTTTAGCCAGTTATTGAACTGGTAAAAACTCGTGCAAGTTAGGAAAAGAGGACGGCTGGATCCAACTAATAGAAACAGCTGTTACCAGCAACCCGAAACAACAGTCATCGTCCTCTTGCTCCTGCAAGGAGAGGAAGTTGTCTCATCGTGGTGCTTCGGTTTGGAAAGCACCACAAAATAGCGCGTAGCTTTTCAGTGACCTAGTCCATCCTGTTTACAGGCCAAGCTCAGCCAATAAGGGAAAACTTTATCATAAAGAATTTACAGAAGTTAAAGTCATAAATGGTAATATTCTTTCTTAGCTCTCTAAACAGGAAGAGTTACTCATGACCTTGAAAATTCCCACAAAGAGACAGAAACATTTATAAAACCTATTTTAGGTAGGAATCCAATTAGTATTTATTGGGTCTTTTCTTTTCTTTCTTCAAATTCATTGAACTCTCAAGTGATTAAGGACGAACTCAGACTACCTGCTCAGATGCTCGGTGTGGCCTCAGCTCTGCAGAACAAGGCGCAGTTCAGACCTAGTCCCTGGAGGCTCCAAGCCCCGTTTCATCATGCCCAAGGTGGGCACCTTGTCTCTCCTCGCTCACGTGCTGCTAACAAGCAGCTCAGGAGCAGCTCTTCTGCCAAGGGAGCATCCCAGGGTTACCAGGGACACAGCAATAGTGCAGGGCTGCTAGAAACCCCCACAAGGAGCTGCCCGAATGCAACACTGCCAAGTCCCCCTAGTTGTGTGGCTCCGTTCTTGGCCCTTTGCCCCGTGGAAAGGTGTCAGTGAACGTTGAATTCCCACTGTCATATCCCAGATGACACCTGGAGCCCCGGTGTCCCCATACACACGTACATACACTGCAAATGTCTGCACTTCTTGCCTATAGAAACATTTTCGTTCACAGGAAGGCTGCTCTTCCAACATGCCTAAATCAGGTGTTTTAAACACTGCCAGTTAAGTGCAACCCTTCTGCACTGACTTTTGATGCCATGGAGACAACTGAGGCTCCACAACAGGCAATCAGAATAAAGCTCAAGGCGCCTGAAGGAACTTTATACTTTCTCCTGTACATGCATTTTATTGCATTTTGGAGTTAGGTGACATTCCTGAATACTGTGTGATAAATTTCCACGGCTCGGTTTCCACCAGGGGCAAAAGTAGAGCTGGGTAAAATCTTTATTACCGTGAGTTGTTCCGCCAGGATGGTTCCTCACAATGTAAATGTAAATGTTTGCAGGATATTTTCATTTTCTTGCACATGCAAGTTCGCTTTTGGATTTTTTTCCACTGTCATCAAGGATGGCTGAACAGATTTTATATCTCAGTTGATAAGGTTTCTACAGTATTTCACTAAATTCATTATTCTCACACATCAATATATCAGCTCTTCATATTAAACTAGAGAAACTTTCATAGACCATCTAGTCTGGATGTAAACTTTTTTCATTTTAATAACAAAACTTACAATTAATTTCATATTACAGTAAATTAATCACTACTAATGCAACTAAGTATAATCATCATGTCTGGTCAAATTTTATATGTTGGACTTGGGGATTTATCATTTTTTCAATAAGCTGAAACTGGAAGAATGTAGTATCCATGCAATATTATACAGTCTCAATACACTATGAAATAGACATAAATTAAAGCTTATAATACACTGTACAATGGAAATATAACCATGCCCATTTCACAGACTACCAAACCAGATCAGGATTGAAAACCACATAATAAGGCATTGAATTCAGAGGGAAAGTCTGAAGAGCAAAGAGGTACTCTCACAACCAGCTCTTCGATGAGGGTCTAAATGTATCCTCTTTGTATAAGTTGTATCGGCTATGTTCAAAAATCAGCGAAAACATACAGTAAAAGAAAACTACCTTTTTGAGGGGGAACTCATATGCTTGATACTGGAATTCACTATGTAAATAAAACCCAGCATTCATAGGCAGATGGAAGAAGGACAAAAAATTCATATTGCATCAGAATTAAAATACAGAAATTGCTTGGAAGGGCTGGGTAGAAAATAATGTGTTTTGCATTGATTATTCTCATCTGCCTCTAAAAGAATGTCATACATGTGCAACGGTGAATGAGAGAGCCTGAGTTGCTTAAAAGGAGTTGCTCAAGGGAGTTGCTTAAAAGATGCAGTTCCCAGGGGATCACTTTTGTCTAAGAGTAAAAAAAATACTCCATACAAAATCAAATCCATAATTAGAGAAAAAGAGAGAAAGTCTGGGTGGGAGGAGATAGTTTGGTTATTAAAATCTTCTACTGAGTTCTTTTACAGTATGAGCTATACACCGGGCTGTCTGTCTGTCTTAGGTGATGTAAACTAGAATTTCTTCAAAAATATATCCCTCAACCTTATTTCCCAGAAGGCTGGTCTATCCTTCCGAGTTTTTAAAAAACAATTGCACAGAAAATTTTACACTTAGGGTAAGTATCTTAGAATTGTAATTATATTAAACTCATTCATATTTTCAGTTCTGACACAAGGACTTTTTTGGTCTTATAAATTCAGCCTATGATAGGACTCAACTCCGTACTTTCTACTGCTACATGCAACACTTTAAATAAACAAAGCTGTGACTTCTTTCAGCTTTGGTGGGATACCCATGAAAGCCTTTGACTTGCATCACTGGTGTCAGGCAGTGGGGGTTAATTCTGTGTTAACAACATTTTTTTTTGAATCATATATTAAAAGACCTTAAGAAACTATTGCATGCATTCTAACAAAGTATTTAGAAACAACTGCAAGAGGAATATTGTAATAAATTCAGTAACCTACCATCTGTTTGAGATTTACTGAGAAATATTGTACTGGCTCGTGGATGATCTGATGGGTTGAATTCCATGTTCAAATCTGGAAAAAATAAAGAAAGTATAGTACAATGTTAAAACATTTATGTTTAACCAGTAGTATACACAGATTTTCTCATTCTTTTTAATACGACCAAGTTTACATACATAAGCAGCTTTTGTAATACAAAATTGGTCTTGAGGCCCACTCTTTTTACCCTTCTTCACACAAGTGGCTCTTTTTGGCAGGCAAATCATTAGCATCAGCACAGCTTTGGGCTTAGACTTCAAGGTGTCAGTTGATTTTGGATTAAAACAGATAAAGCAGCTTTAGAAGCCTGTATACAAGTCAGGAATTACTTGTTTTTTATTGGTTTCTTCCACCCACACCCCAAAGTCATTGCTAAGCACAGGAACATAGCTTATTATACACAATTATAGAAGAATTAAGTATTATAAATCTGCAGCCCTCTGTAGAGAAATGAGTTTCCATGAATAGATGTGATCACATTAAGTATTTTTTTCGCTGCTGAGTGTAACAAGTTAAATCTAGGCCAGAGTGTTTTAAAAGGTCAAGATCTACAAAAACTCTTACACTTTAGAGATGGACCCATTTCTGATCGTGAAAGTTTGCAAGAAAACGCTCCTAAAATGCGTGTACCAGGTTTAAGGATTCCAGCCTTAAGAGCATATACACACTTCCACAAGGGTTATTTTCCCAATCAAGGTTAAAACCTCCTGAATTTATTTGTGCTTAAATTCCACACCACTACCACATCCTCCAGACCTCACCTGCTCCGGTAAGGCTGTCCAAAGCAGCAGGTCTCTCTCTATCATTTTGCTTGGTCCTCCAGGGTGGCTCCTTCTACCTCCGTTTTCCTGCAATCTCCTCATCTCAGCACGTACTTTCTCGTGTGTTTTGATGTATTTCATACATGCTGATTTCCACAGGAGCACTGACATGTTTGGTTTAGGTGATTACCCTATACAGACCCTGGTATAGATTGATTTTTTTTTTTCCAGTTAGAAATGGGGATTATTGTTACCAAAGCCACAAAGGAATAAAAATGTTAAGAGTACAAGGGAAAGTCGCTTTGATTCTCCTGGAAATCACGATTTGCAGCCAAGCTTGCAGAAGACTTTAGGAAGGCCGGCTGACTTGAAGGGCCAGAGATTAGAAACAACATCTGCATTTTACTTTCTGTGCTTTACTTAGAACGAGAGAAGAAAAAACATATTTCATGACTGTTTTTCTATAAAGCTGAATTCAAGATGCCATTCAATAGGTAAAGAGTATTGGCATTTTAAAACAGCAAAGATGATCATCTTTGTCCATCCTTTTCACCTTTTAACAATCAGTAAGATACACAAATGTGTATTTTTTAAATGCATTTTTTATATCTCAGTGTAGAAAGTTTTTCTATAAACTCTGCAGTCCAGTAAAGCAAATTCCATCAACACAGCAGGACTGGTGATGTGAAACTGGACTGGGCTTTTTTGGCATTTCAATAGCCAAGCATTTGTTTCCTTCCTGCCTCGAAAACCAAGGTGGAGGCTGGAGCCGAGCGCCTGGCCCGGGTCTGCAGCCGGCTCGCGGGGCGGGAAGGAAGGAGGAGCCCGTGGGCATCAACGGCTCTGCCCCGCCAAGGGCTGAAACCAGGAGCAGCGAGACCAAGGACGACAACGTCTGCTGGGAGAACCCTGCGCCGCGGAAACTGCGCGAGCCCCGACGCGCGGGGAACCCCCGGCACGAGCCGACGGGGACGGGGTCACGGGATCGGGCGCCAGGCGATGCCCTAACCCACGGTGCAACTTGAAAATAAAGACCTCTTGATCTGCCATCATTCTTCCCTTTTATACTGACATGAGAGACCACGCAACGGAGATGTAAGGTTGGAAAAGGGCTGAATTAGACGATGCACACAAATAGCTGAAGTTACTAACACATTTCCATAGGCACTAGCTATCAGAGGGTTACCTGCAAATAATACATTCCCTGCTCTGTGTATTTAGTAGGTCTTCCTCATAATCCGAAAGAGCCATTAAAAAATACTATATTTAAGGCCTACCCATTTTGTGATAGAAAAATTGACAGTAGAGAGAGATTCAAATACAAACAGGCAATATTTAACTATTAGTAAGAGAAAATATGGAAGCCAAAATACCACTGACTAAAATCCATATTAGTATTTTCTCCATTTTTAGCAGTCTGCTCTCTAACTCACCATATCCTTACAAAAGAAAGATTTTAAGGAGATAATACTTCCATTAGCCCCTCTGCATTCCAAAAGCAGTGTCTTAAAAAGACTCACTCAGAGATGGTCCAAATCAAAAATCTTTCACTATAGAATATTCTCCAGGAAATATTGTTTCACGAGTCATAAGCTTGGCTCTAAATTTCAGATTCTGCTTTCAGACTTGCTGTGAGTCCTTTGCTTGTTTAAAAAATGGCAAGGCAAACAAAAATTCACTGCTAGAACTTACAGAGCAAAGCAGCATCTTAAAATCATCTAAAATCAAAATAGTTATAATTAATAACTACAAAGAACAATGAATAATTTTTTTTTCTAAATGCTATTTATGTATAGATACTAGGTATGCAACATTTCAAAAGCCTGTGCCAACAATAACAACTATTTCCACAAATTACTTAAATAAAGGTAATTAAATCTGGAAATAAAAAGAAATTGAAGAAAAATGTGTTTTTCCCCGCTAATATGATGTTTTGAATATTGAAGTCACTTAGGATCCGTAACAAGTTAACTACGTGTAACCTATCCTGCCTTTAACCACAGTGAGTATCTCAGCAATTTGGAGCATTTTGCTTCAGATACATTAAAACCAAAGCAACAGCACAAAAAACACACAAAAGCAAAAAATTTCCACTGGCCACCACTGAGAGTACAACTTGCTAGCCTCTCCTTTCTTCCAGAACAAAGATCCCTATTAGGAGAGCATCTGTAATACAGATGTAGGCTCCAAGATTCATAAAAATTTACGATTCTCATGCGAAAGTCTTAGGACTGATCCTTCTGTACTGCAGTTAGGTACAGTTCTGTCCTGGACTTCACTAACAACATTTGATCGCCTTAAAGCACGATGTATAGCGGAATGCTGAACAGACTAGAAGATATTTTCCAAGATCTTTTTATAGTTCAAAGACCAGCATCATTTTTGTCAAGTTCTCAAGGAGTGTCCTGATTCACCAGGTCCAAAATAAATCATCATCTCCATAAGGAAAAAAGGGGCTTTTGCATTTAGCTTAACTTAAAACACGTGCAACAGCACTGAAGTTGAAGACACTTGTCAGAAGAGCAGTGGGATTCGCCCTGGGCTCTGCGAGTTTCACAGCTCGCAGCAGTTGCATTCAAACACGGCCACAGAAGACGTGGGCCATAAACCATTTCAGTCTTGGGGTAAACCTGTTTCACATCTGGAGTAAAGCCCATGGCAGATTTTTAATTTCCAAACAAGATTTTAGAAAGTGTCAAAAAAAACAATAACAAAAATACGGAACCCATTTGCGGTTTCCATGTGAGAGCTACGCAAAAGACAGGAGGTCCAGAGAAAATGCCTGAAAATGACAAATTCAATGACAGTCTTGACAAATTCAAACCATTGAGCTGCTGAAAAGGAAAATTAAGGGGTGTCTGCAGCTCACTAGCCCCTCCACTGAGAGCGGTGAACAGGCACAAAGAGCTCCCTTCAATCTCACACACCTGAGAGAAACACAAAAAGTAAAAGCAGAGGATTTTTTTTAAAAAAAGCAGTGATTAGTCACTGAAGGCATTTGAACTCAACATATTCTGATATTTTCTTTTTCTAGGAGATTGTTTCAGTCAAGCCTCTTCAGGCGTTAGTCAACAGTTTTAGGCTCAATTTAAGAATAATAACTGTTATCATTACTGGCTTATGACTCATCTACAGGTCAGGATCGGATGATTTGAAAGGCCTCTAGCCTAAATACTTAAAAACAAAACAAAAACAAAACAAAACAAAAGGCAACACTAAATTATTAAGTACAAAGTCCCAGCACAGCTCTGTCACCATTATGACACACATCCACACTCCTTCTAAAACTGCATCAGACTCTGCCAGAATTTTTACTTTAGAAAGGTCCAAGTTTTAATTCTCAAGACTCATGATCAGAATATAGTATACACAGACAGAAGGACAAGGTGTCTTTTGTGACAAAATTTTAACCGAAGAAAAGGAGTGATTTTTTTTCAGGCCACGAGCGCATGGTGACAGAAGCCCTGAGCTGGGGAGAGGCGGCCTGGGCATCCCACGAGTTCCCGGGCCATGGAGGGAGGCCCCAGCATAGCCAGTGCTTTGGAAAATGCACTTCTTCCATCGGAAAAAAAATATTTTGTTTCTCTAAAGAGCAGAAGTCAGGAAAGTGGGCATTGCCAAAGCTCAGAGGCTGATTAGATGATGAGCTGAAACCTCAACACAGTAGAACAGTTTTTCAGGGCTTTCACGGTCCTCAGTAACCCAGGGCACTTATTTTGCTTCCTTGCCTTTATGGTCAGAGATTCCAGCCTAGCTCTCCCATCGCACAAACATCACCATAATTAAGGGGAAAAATGTTGTATCACGCATCAATTTCCCATGCTATCATCTGCTTAGAAATAGATCAAGCCATGTGTCTTCTACCCGGTAGATATTTTGGAGTTCTTTACCCGGACCTCAGATAAAGCAAGGCGCGGGGGGCCCAGGAAAGCCGTGGCCGCCTGGCCATGGGCCGCACTAGCTGCCTTCTCTGCTCTCTTTTCCACATCCTCAGACTCATGTTTCAGAGACCACAGCCTGGCACAGCCTCATGTGGGAAAAACAACGAACCCATCGTGCAGTTGTTTATTAAAAAATGAAAGCAACGAGCAACATTCGATAAAGCCTTGAGACGTGCAAACCAGTAAAATCAGAAGGGAACAGAAAAGTCACCATGGAAACACGCAGGGAAGCCAGGGCCCAGGGAAGGATTCGCAGTGGGGAGAGCAGGGAGGGACTTCCCGGGGGGACGGAGCCGGGACGGAGCCATCTCACAGGTGGACGCGGA